AGGGAGAGGGGGAGAGCATGATGCTCTCCCAGGCCTGAGGACAGGGGGGAGCATGCAGGGAGATGCAGCAGAGCACCAGTCAGCATCGATCGATGACACGTTTGGCTCTCGTACCTCCTCAACAAGGGCAGACTCCTGATAGCAAAACATCTCTGCGATTTCGAACAGTACGGGGCAAGTCTCTTTGTTCTCAGACGTGCGACTGAAATTGTCACTCCTCCTTCTGACTGGCGGACAGAAATAGCCCGTCCCAACTTTGGAAGCGAGATAAGTGTCACTAAACACGACAACACGCTGTCCAGCTGCAGATCCGCGGCCTGAGAGACTAGAACCGCGCGCGCGCGGAAGTTCTAGCGAAATCTATGGCGCTGTGATGACGGAAGTCGGGGTTTGCGGACGACCCAATGTCAGGGAAGGGGTGGCCATCTTGGGCTGGTTCTGGGCAAGGGGCCCAAAGACACGCAATCAAGAACACACAAATACCCAGATTCCCAATATTTTCTTGTATTTTCTGGGTGTTCGTCTTCCCTCCACTTCCCATGTTTTCCTAATTATATCCTCCCGGGGATCGACGACTAATTCTGTCTGTCCGTTTTTGCCCCCTCCTGATACTTGGACTGTCTTTGGGGCTGTTCAGGCGCTGCCTGGGGGGGGGGGGTGGGCGTCTTTGGTCCCAAGAGGCGCCGCCGCCCTGGTGTGCCGTGCCGTCACCGCGACACGCAGGCCTTGGCCGCCTGCGGGCTCGTCGGGGAAACTGCCGAACAGCCTTGGGACGTCGACCGGCTCTCTGCTGCCACGTCGAGCCCGCACTTTGCTGATCCGGGGACGTCGTCAGGGGACGTCGTCCGCGCGCGCGCGCTCCGCGCGCTCTCTGCTAGTTCTATGTCGGGCGTGTCCCCCTACAGAGGGATTTTCGACGAAAAATAAAAGATACCCCAATAATAATCAAAAAATAATCCAACAATAGCCTGGGGACTATTATTTGATTATTTTCTTGTCTTTTTGGGATATTTGTTGGGGAATTTTCATTTTTCGTCGAAAATCCCGCTGTAGTGGGACAGGCCCGACATAATGCCAGTTGACGGGTGGCACCGTGCGCGCGGGTGAGCGACTCGGCTGTTCGAGCCGCTGGCTCCTGGACCCCTCAAGCGCGCAAAGGGGGTCGAGCGATGGGGGCATCCGTCTGAGAGTGCAGGGGGGTCCTGAGGAGGCCCTGGGATTTCAAGCCAGGTTTCCGAGGAAGCTGGAAGCTTTCTGAGACCCCCCCCCCGCCGTACTGGAAGACCAGCCCTCCCTCGCGCAACCTTCTTCCACACGCATGTGGTTATCGAATGGGCTTCAGGCCATCCCGCCACCGTGCCCGGGGCCCGTATCGGGGGCCTGCAGGAAGCCTCTTGCGGGCGTCAGATGGCCGTCTATGGCAACTCTTAGGGCCCTGATGGATCCTGCGTGTTGGGGGCTGGTATGTTCTCTCAACTTCCACGTTTCCTGCCTGCGTGAAATGCCCCTTTAGGTGTAAGATGTGGCGCGGCTGCAGCTGCACCCCGGGTGAGGGCTGTCGTTGCCCAAGTTGCGGCTGCATATCGCGCTCTGGAACAGAGCCAACTCAACCAGCAAAGCTTCTCGCTCCACGGTGCACGTTTGGCGCTGTCGGCCCTCAGTCGCAGCAGCGTCCAAAGAAGCACGGGGCACGCAGAAAGAACCGACGGTCTGACGCTTGGTTTGGACCGGGGGGTAAGCGACTCCGTGCGGAAGGCTGAGTAGGAGTCTCGCGAACCATCTTAAGACGAAAGAAGGAACAGAGGAAAAGGAAAACGGGATGCGGGATGAGTAGCACGGAGGAAGAACAGAGGAGGGAGGAAAAACAAGGAAAGGCGAGGTGCGAGGGAAAAAGGAGGGACGGAGACACTAGGATACCCTCCTTTGGCTCTCATGGGCTCCTGGAGTCATCTCTAACTACAGACAATAGAAAGCTGAACTCCTAATGACTCTGAAGCGACCCTTCTGGGGAACCTTTCATGACTATCAAGCGACCCTTCGGCCGACATCTAGGATACCCTCGTTTGGCTCTCATGGACTCATGGAGTCACGTCCAACTGCAGGCAGAAGCAACCATAACTCCTGATGACCCTGAAGCGACCCTTCTGGGGAACCACTTATGACTCTCAAACGACACATCGGGCGGCATCTTGGAAACCGCTATGGCCCTCTTGCGCCATCGTTGTGCCAAGTAGAGAACTCCTACTGAGGAACATCGGAACACATTCGTGCCATCCAGGGGCCTCCTGGGGCAATGGCCGCCCAACGCCCTCTGAAACCATCGGGTCTTTCGAAGCCTAGCCTAAGACTCTGAACTGCCCATGCGAGGTTTCTTCAACTGGTCATCCGGCTGTCCGAAAATCTTCGGAACATACGTTGACCGGCAAATTGCGAATCACGGGGATGCAACCATAAAGACATCGGTATTGGACAGAGTTCCTTTTGGAGCGAAACTGCCCGGGATGAGCGTCTGAAAGGGGACCCGCGATAAGACACCAAACGCTGACCTCCTAGGACCCCTTCTCCCAAAAGGCCGCGCGGGACACTCTTGGCCCCCTCCCGCTCCATGGGGGCTTCTGTCAGTCGCACGGCGCTGCAATCGCCGTTCTACAGGCCCGCTTGCTCTACAGTCAATTCCATCCTCCCCTAACCCAAACCAGTTTGTGATTATCCTTTGTTCTCTCTTGTTTGAGACAACGTACACGCCCGCTTGCTGTCCATCTCGCATATCGTGCTGGGGAGTCTGGGGGCCACGCCACCCTGAATCGAAAACCCTGAATCGCCGTTCTGCAGGCCCGTTTGCTCTGCAGTCGATACCATCCTCCCCTAACCCAAACCAGCTTGTGACTCTCCTCTGTTCTTGCTGCGACCTCTCGAATTCGCGACCGTGCCACAGGCCGCGCCACACCGGCACGCCGCCTGGAGCCGCGCAGGCACGCCGTCGTGCCTCGACTGCGGAGCCCGCTGCACGAGGCGGATGGTGACGACGACCCGAAGAGCGGGACGGCGGAGCAAGGGGGAGGGGGAGGAGGAGGAGGAGGAGGAGGAGGAGGAGGAGGAGGAGGAGGAGGAGGAGGAGGGAGGAGGGAGGAGGAGGAGGAGGAGGGAGGAGGAGGAGGAGGAGGAGGGAGGAGGAGGGGGAGGAGGAGGAGGAGAGGAGGAGGAGGAGGAGGAGGAGGAGGAGGAGGAGGAGGGGTTCCGAGGAGGGCTGAACCTGAACGGCGTTTTTCGTTCTCGTTTTGGTTTCGTTTTCCCTCGCTCGCGCCTCGAATCCGCCTTTGCCGCAGAACGCAGCCGGAACGAAAACGGCCCACGAAGTCACCAACAACACCGTTTGGGTCCAGCCCTGATTCCGAGGGGGGAGTCCGCAAGTAGCAGGCACTGGAATAGTGGGATCCTTCGAGGGGGAGGGGGCCGCCGTTGAGTCGTCGTCGTTGGTCGGAGGAGGAGGGAGGGAGAGAGGTGGGGAAGGAGGAGGAGGAGGAGGAGAAGGAAGACCAGTGAAAAGAGTCAAGACGGGGGATCCCAGAGCCAATGGAAAGCGGAGCGGGACTACAGCAACAATTTCAACAACGCACGGTTGGAACGGGCGCCGCAGATCAACCATTTTCGTTTGACACGTTCCGGGACAGCTCAACCCTATCAAGAACGACATCCAGGCTATACAGACGCATGGGGCATCCCAGACAGATTTGCGTGCAGCTGTGAATCCCCCCGACCCGACTCTAGCGAATTGGCGAAACGCATTGACACTAAATGGTCTTCCCGACTGGCTTGGGCTAGGTCGGCGTCTGGGGCATCCGCTAACACAATGACTCAATCCAAATATGACGATCTTGAGCGCGAACTCCGAGGGCTCAATGTGTAGCAAGCGAACAGTGCAATCACGCGGGATACCACGGCCATCATGGCATGCTTGGATGGGTATCGTTCGTTCAACACTGCTGGAAAATGGGTAAACCAACACTTGTAGAAGCTACCAAAACAAATGATCTAACATATTCATGCGAAAGGGGATTCCACATCACATTGTCTCATAACTCAGCAACATCGATGACGATAATCTCGTTGATGGACAT